AAGAGGAAATCCCATTCCCTCCCACCCCCAGCAACTGAGCCAGGCGCAGAATTCTAGTTCCCCTAGGACTAATTCACTCTTGTCACTCACCTGGGCTGTACACTGCACAGACGCTTGGGAAGCAGCTCAGCTGCCTGGCTCTCCTGGTTTTCTGCTTTCCTGCCCTCCCCTTACACAGACCATGAGGGGGAAACTGACCTGCTAGCAAAGAACACGTGGCTGTTCCCCCCGCAACATTCCTCCATGCCCCCCTAGGGAGTTGAGGGGGAAGGGGCAAGCAGCAACGCCAGGTGCTCTGTGCCTGCTGGTCAGGTTCCATAGTTTCTGTGCCATAGGAAGCTCCTGCAACTGCTCTGCCATGCCAGCTTCAGTCTCTGGCAGGTTCTCAATGCAGATTCTTTCCCCAAGGACACATGGCTGGGGGAAGGGAGGATGCACCACAGTTCTGGGTTGCGAAGGGGTGGGTGAGAGGGGGAGTGGTAGCCTGAGCTGTGCCCCATGTTACAATTCTGCTTCAGAGTGTGTGCACCAATATAGAAGGTTATATATGAGCAACTAGAGCTATAGGGAAAAATGGTAGCACCTTCTATTATATTGCTTTATTTCCTAATATGCCATATTGCTTAGTGTTGTGTGATCCCAACGTTGTGTGAGCCTGTACTGAGAAATATTTTGCACTAAAGAGAGTGCTTCTGCCATCAGAAACAGAACAGGGACCAGATATAGGAACAGCAACTCAATCTATTCCAAGCTGTCTTTACTTCTGTACCATAGGTGGAAAATTAGAGTTGAGCCTGAACCAAAACCTAAGGTCTGAACATCCCTGAATGTTAGGATAGTTCAGTTCCAGATTCAAATGCAGTGTCCAGGCCTGGTCTTTATAATGGGTCAAACCAAACCTCAGATCTGAAAAACCTCAAACTACAGGGAAGTTTGGAATCATATCTGGTATGTTTTCTGGTTCTGGCCTGACGCTGTGCAAAATTGAGACTCAGCCTGCTCCTCTTGAATCTTTGGCAAGAGTTATTCAGCTAACTAAAAGAAACTTGAGGGACCTCCAAAAACACATGCATGGTAGCACCCTGGTTCTGATCACCTTCCCTTTGCACATGTTCTAGGGTTTCTGTTATTAAATCCTAGTGTACAGTATAATAATAGCACATGGCCACTATTCATCTGAAGATCACAAAGGTGGAAAGCCATTATTATTTCCATTTTTCAAGTGAGGAAACTGAGGCATGAATTACTTATGCAAGATGTCTTTGCTTGCTAAAGGGTGCTGCAGCAACAGAAAGAACAAAGTAACGTCATGTTCTCAATTCTCCATTTTTTCCCCACCTAAGTAAAAACTCCTAGATGAAAGGTACAGTTCCTTGAACCTGTGTGAAAAGCTGTCCAAATCTATTGCAAATCTAAAAGACTTGCCTTTTGCATGTGAGTTTGAGGTTATGACAGGAGAATAAATGAGTGATCAGGATCAGTTGATAACAGCAATAAATCTAGCCTATGGGGAAAATTTGTCTTTTATGCAGGAACTATGGATATTGTAGAAGAGTTTAGATATTACTGTGATGCAATTACCAGCAAGACAGACAAGCACACAGATAGCTAGATATAGATAGATAAGAGGAAGAATGGCTTTGAAAATACTGCTTGGAACATGAAAAGATTTCAAGTGCCCTGAACTGGCACAGATCAGACACTTGGGCACAATGAAGTTGGTTTGTGGCCATAGCATGCAAAGCATCAGAACAACAGGAAGAAACAGTGGAATCATCTAGTTTTGTTTGTTAAATAGACTAAGGCCAAAATCCTGCCCTTACCTCAAGCAACCTCACATGGTGTGAGGGCAGGGGAAGAGGACCTATAACCCCCTGTCACTACAGGGCATGATGGCTGAAAGTGAAAGGTTGCAATGCACCGTTATGTGCTATTTAAGTTCCCCAGATCAGGAGGAGTATGCCTTTTCCTGCTGTTGCCTGCTAGCGTGTGCAGATGCTGTCAACATATTTAGTAGCTGACTGACAGCCAGCCTAGACAACCCCTCTACCCAGCAGAGAGTGCCCCTTTAGGGACAAATGGTTTGGCATATTAGCTGAGACCATCTCTTTGTACCCTAGAGATCATGTTTTGTTGGTTGCATAGGGAGACGGGGCTCCCTACATTTTTTCCCCTCACCTATAGAGCAGTGGGCAGTATTCTCTTAAGCAGGGGAAGAAAAGCTATACTGTCTGATTTGAATTTGTTTAGTGAAACTTGCCAATGCAGAGAATTGGGAAGGAGAATGATGCCCATGGGTGGGTTAGTCAGCTTTCAGTACTTGCTATGTAAGAGGGTCCTGTCATCAAGAGCACTAATCAGCCGATGAAAATTGTTCTGGATAGGTTTTTATCCACTGTTTCACTGGCTGAGAGTGGTGTCACTCAGTATCTGCAGAAGAATTGTGTGGGTGGAGATGAGAAGTAAGCCAGAGGCTAGCCCTGTCAGCTTGCTTGTGTAGTTTAATTAAACACATAGTAAAACAGTTGCTTTTTCTAATTTGCCTCAAGATTATTATTTTATAAAATTCTTTAGTCCAATCACGTCTCCCATTTCCTTAGGCCTTATCTAGACTACAGGGGAATGGGTTTTTTTTTTTTTTTTTTTTGGTCTGTGTTTTTGGTATATGACAAGGCCTTACTGGAGCTCAGAATATTATTACTTCCCTCCCACTTGCAACCACTTTCTTACTGAGATTCTGGCCAGTCCCACTGCCATTCTGATACCAGTTCTTAACTGGGGCCCAGTCCATTCTTGTTGTTCTCCTGCTGTCTAATCTTTCTCTTTTTCCTCCCAGTGCCTTATTGGGGTTCTCATGGTCTTCTTCTCATCTGCCTAGTTCTGTTATTTCTGTCTGCCATCTGCTTGCAATAGCTCTCTCTCTACCTTTCTTCTCTCATTCTCAGTGGGGCTGGCCCAGCCCTGCACCCACCTCCTCTCTCTTTAATTTGAATTTTTTGAGTGTATTGAATTGGATTTTTATCTGAGTAATTGCAAAGCACTTGAAGGGCTTTCCATCAGCAGTATATAAATAAAAATGGATCAGAATAGATTGGATTGCTGCTTTTACATCCGTTCCCATATTCTCTTTCTGACAGGTCCTGACACCCACACACGCTCCTTGCTCAGACTCAACTAGGTCTTATTGCTTTCATTCTCAGTGCTGTATTGGTGGCAGGCTTTATATTCCTCATAATTTCCTCTTCTTACAGAGATTTTCACCTTGTTTTCTACCTCCCTGTCTTAATGGTACACTTTAAATGCTAAACAACTTGATGATCTGGTCCCTTCATTAAGACTTCACATGGGCCAGCACTGTGCTTACTCTCCTTGTGAACGCCCAAAATGTTATGTCACTGCTAATTTGCTTTAGAATTCCAACCAGTTTGCAACAAGTGTTTATAACTTTGGATCCCACAGCAAATGAGCATAGCCAAGTGAATAATTTGCAATTGGTATTTTATCTAATGAATTTAGCATTTCCCCCCACTAGTTGAATATGCATGAGCAGATCCTGATTTCCTCAAATGTATCTAGTTTGAATTATTTGCCTACATTTTTGTGCTGCTTTAACTCTACGTATCAATCACAAATAGTTCTGTGTGAGCTTTCAATACTTGATATTTGCTATTTACATTGTGTTAAGTTGTAAATGATCAATAAGTCCCCTGGAATTGTTTCTGATACTTAAGTGGATGAGCATGCATATACCTTTGGCCTGATGACTTGTACATGCACAATTAAATTTTGAGGTTGATTAATATTTGTGCACACAGCTTTGAAGTTCACTTGCCATGAGTATTTGTGCTGGTAAAGTTGTTTGCTTGGATGTTTGCAGAAAGAGAACGCAAAAGAGGCATAAGCAGAACCAAGGAGAATTCATTCAAAAAATTTCAGCAAATAGTCACCATTAAAAAAAAAAAAGATTTATTTGCCCAGATCTTCAACTAAGCACTGGAGGGAGAACAAGTGCACCTGAGTCAGATGTTCCCTGTTCCCCAAATCTGAGAAACGCAGAAGCAGAAAGACAGCTGGAAACAGAGGCAGAGGAGACAGTGGATTTTTGTGTGTGTGATCTTCTCTTAAGTCATATGTTCACTTCTCTGCCTATGGGCCAGAATCAGATCCAGGGGGAGTGTGACCAGCTTTCCTTTCTTTGTGATTATATCAGAGAGGGGAGGCCCTGAAATATGTTCTGTTGTAAGATGGGGTCACGCTATGGTGGTGGTTGAGAACCTCTGTCATGCGACATGCGGCGGCAGTATCTCCAAAGACAGTGTGATAGCTCTGCGGGGACACGTTGGGGCTGGGGAGCGTGGAGCCAGGGCTTAAGGTGGTCTGAAAAAAGTGTGTGTGAGGGGGTTCCCATAAGCTGGCAGCACTAGCAGCAGCCCTGGGGACTTTAAGCACTGCATGGCGAAGTCTCCACTTCCCCTCCAACCACTGGCACTGTTGATTTTGTGGATCCAGAGCCGGGGTCGGGCTGCGTGACACCGAGCCAACAGTTCGTGTCAAAGTGACAGGCCCCTTCCCCAGCTGGGGTCTGGCTGCGAGGGGACGCGGCGGGCTTCCAGGGCCGGGCGAGCCCCGTGCACGGTGCCCGTTCTGCACTCGCTCCCAGCCGCCTGGGGCTTCAGCCCGGGGACCCCTCCGCCCCGCTCCTCCCCAGCGCTGCCAGGCCTGTGCAGAGACATTTGGGGCCCGGGTACATCGTTCCCCCTCGCCCCCCGTCACTTTATTTACACAGAGGTTACAGGCGTTTTGGGGGACCCCAGAGCTCGGCCCCAGGACAATCGCCCCCTTTCCCCCATGTCAGCCCCCTGGCTGCTGCCCACCAGCGGGACCCAGCCCGGCAGGCACTAGGACCTAACGGGAGTGGGGCAGAGTAGGGGCGGAAGTGGTGTTCAGCGGGAGCGGAAGTGACCCGTGGTAGGGGCGGAAGTGGGCGAGGGTCGGAGGGGCGCTGTTGTTGCCGTTGCTGCCGAGGTGTTTAGGGGGCGTGTCCCGCTCGCGGCAGGTGAGGGGGTTGAGGTTCGGGCCCGGCCCGTAGGCAGAGCCGCGGGGGCTGCCGCTAGATGGGTCCCCGGGGAGCTTGTGGGGACCTCAGTGTCCGGGTCACCCCGGGACTGGCCTTACTGGGAGGCCGGCGGCTCTGGGGCCTGGCGGGGGTGTCTGGGCTATGGCCGGGCGGGGGCTGGGGGGGGGTCTCAGCAACTCCGCCTGTTACCTGGCGCTTGTATGGGGAGCCCGGGCTGGGAGGGAAGGGAATGGGGTTCGAGATGACATCTCACTGGGACATATTGGTAGGACTTCGGAGTGTTCCCTGCAGTCCCACAGAGGTGTGTGTGTGTGTGACTTGCTGAGATGGTGCACTTGTTGCTGGAGGGCATTGGATACGTAATATTAAAGTAAAGGGTTGTTGTAGCATTCTGGGGAAATGGCTTAATTATATCGTTAATTATGATTCATGAGTTGGACCTACAAAAAATAGGTGCATATCTTACCTTTGGTGCATAATAGATCTCCTGCAGATATTGGGGTTTATACAGGTAAACTGGGTAAAATGACAATTTTGTAATAACAAAACTCCTAGTTATGGACATTACTAGTATATTCATCAATGCTCTGTGGCAAAGCTTGGGTGATTGTATATATGGTTGTATATATGCATGTGTACATATACGTTTACATTTATAATTCTGGGTCTGGTTCTATTCAATATCTTTATCAGTGATTTAGATAACAGCACAGAGAGTACATTTACAAAGTTTGTGGACGATACCAAGCTGGGAGGGGTTGCAAGTGCTTTGGAGGTTAGGATTAAAATTCAAAATGATCTGGACAAACTGGAGAAATGGTCTGAAGTAAATAGGATGAAATTCAATAAGGATAAATGCAAAGTACTCCACTTAGGAAGGAACAATCAGTTGGACACATACAAAATGGGAAATGACTGCCTAGGAAGGAGTACTGCAGAAAGGGATCTGGGAGTCATAGTGGACCATAAGCTAAATATGAGTCAACAGTGTAACACTGTTGCAAAAAAAGCAAACATCATTCTGGGATGTATTAGCAGGAGTGTTGTAAACAAGACATGAGAAGTAATTCTTCTGCTCTACTCTGCGTTGATTCAGCTGGAGTATTGTGTCCAGTTCTGGGTGCCACGTTTCAGGAAAGATGTGGACAAATTGGAGAAAGTCTAGAGAAGAGCAACAAAAATGATTAAAGATCCAGAAAAAATGACCTATGAGGGAACATTGAAAAAAATGGGTTTGTTTCTTCTGGAAAAGAGAAGACTGAAAGGGGACATAACAGTTTTCAAGTACATAAAAGGTTGTTACAAGGAGGAGGGAGAAAATTTGTTCTTCTTGTCCTATCCTCGGAGGTTAAGAAGCAATGGGCTTAAATTGCAGCAAGGGAGGTTTAGGTTGGACATTAGGAAAATCTTCCTAACTGTCAGGGTGGTTAAACAGTGGAATAAATTGCCTAGGGAGGTTGTGGAATCTCCATCATTGGGGATTTTTAAGAGCAGGTTAGACAAACACTTGTAAGGAATGGTCTAGATAATACTTAGTCCTACCATGAGTGCAGGGGACTGGACTAGATGACCTCTTGAGGTCCCTTCCAGTCCTATGATTCTATGTATGCCAGGCACTCATGGGGCTGCTGTTATTTTTTGTCCTTTGATTATTTGGTAATTTGGCAGTTACCAGACTTGTGTACACGTTTGGTAATTTTTGGAAATATGATTAATGACTTTGAGAGTTAGCATCACATTGCTGTGAATGCTTACATCTCTGACTTGCTTCAGGCTGTTGCAGATGCAGGAAGGCAACTTTGCTTCAGTTTTGTATCAGTTACTGCTTGGTTTGCATTTGAAAGACTCTCTTCACAACCCTAGACATTTACTTTAAAAAGAGTTTGCATTTTGCAGAATCTGAATCAGTACCTCAAATGGACCTGATAGTAGATACCACTGCATTTGAAGATTTTTGGCCCCTCCCCAGAATCATAGGCACCACCATCCCATTCACAGAAATAAAGCTTACTTGCGGGAGGAGGCAGGGCTTAAAGTGGACTGAATCACTTGGAGTCACAGAACTATTAAAAAAAATTATCTGAGTCAGGTCTGAGGCAAGTAAATAGCTGCTGACAGGACATTGTAAGTGTATTAAAGAACCACTCTGAGCTTTAAAAATATGTTGCAAACAAATGCAGTTGTTCCTAGTAATGACAGATCTGTGACCAATTTAAGCCTTAGAAAGGAGGGGCTTGATAACATATGAGATTCATACTGATGTATAATGGTCTGTTTTGATGGGATGACAAGTTTGGAACAAGTATCAGAGGGGTAGCTGTGTTAGTCTGAATCTGTAAAAAATAACAGAGGGTCCTGTGGCACCTTTGAGACTAACAGAAGTATTGGGAGCATAAGCTTTCGTGGGTAAGAACCTCACTTCTTCAGATGCATCTCTGTTAAGTTTGGAACAGGCTTTCTTCCGGCCCTTATTCTGCTCTCCACAGCTGTGGACTGTATTGTTCAAATCCTGCAGTGGAAGCAGTGCAGTACTATATGGCTTTGAATTGCAGTTTGTATATTGGGCATGGAGAATTTCTAAAGAATCCCTGAATAATGAACACTGCTGTGTACTCATTATGATGTAGTTTGTGTACACATAGGAAAGCCCTTGCTTTAGTTACTCAGTACTGATGGAGAAAGAATTGCTGCCATTTGAAATACGTAGTGAGGAATACTCTACAAGCAAAAGCTACAGTGTGTATTTGGGGGGAGGGAGTAAGCTTGTGAAACTGGTTCAGTCATCATTACCCAGGACATCAGCTGATGGTTTGCAGTAAAGTTGTGATGAATAATCTTCTAAAAAAATTATTAATCTGAATATCAAGTAGTTGCTGTTGAACCAGCAACTAATGCAAAGAAAGCCACCGGCTTGTGGAAGATTTGTAGTTCAGCAGTGCATTAGAATCCATTTTTTAATGTTCCAGAGAGAGCTCTGTTTTTTAAAAGTACAAATTTTGGATTTAAGCTGTACATTGGTATGCTTAAAGTAATATTACTAACCATTGACTAAAATAGATGCCTCTCTTGCACTGTGGAGATGCATTTGTCAAATAAATGCATGGGTAATGTTTTCAAAATAAACACATGCTATTGTGATAAATGCATTCATTCTAATAAAATTCTTCTGTGTTGAAAATAAAGAATGAGTCAGCCAACAGTAATACATATGGTTGCAGTGGTATTACATTTACCTGTGTATACTGAGAGAGGCTGCTGACAGGCATAATAACTGCTGTGAAAAAGGTTGTTATTGAGGCCACATATGGTGGGCACAGATAATATTTACTCTAATACTGAGTGAAAAACTTTGTCCCATTGTAAAATCACATCATGAAATGTTAAACTGATCAGTGATTGATCCAAGGTCTTTCCTATCAAAAAGAGGTGACTCTCATTTCTCTAAGAGCATTGCAGATATGCTTCCACCACTAGACGAGGGGGCCTCACCCTGAGGAAAAGTACGTTTTCTCTGGGTCTTTTTGCCTCTTTACTGTGATTGGTCCATTTATAGGGAATCAGTGCCAGCTGCGGTGGTGATTCATACGGTGTGAACAAATGTCTGCTAGGGACTGGACTGAGACCACCATCTCACTTCTCTTAGACCACTCAGTAGCCATCACTGGAAATGGCTTGCAGTCTTCTGACCCAGATCAGGTGACTTAAAGGTGAAAGGCTCTATATCTATTGCCAGTTTTCTGAGGCAGTCTTCCTAGAGTACTGAGATTACTCTGGAACAGAACAGATACCACTTCCTCTGCCCGATGCAAGGTCTGGAAGCAAACTTATTTTGATGTCTCCCTTGGGAAATTTTCTGCATTTCAGTCTTCCTTTGAGTCTTGTTCTGCTGTTTTGCCACTCCCCTCTTTCTGCTCTGGTTAGGCTGTCGTGATTTGGGAAGGATGTCTGGGGGTCCCTTGATGTGTTTGTTTAATTATATTTGGTTGATGAACTCGTCTCATTTAGAAAGTGGAAAGAGCTAAAATGGCAACATTATTAAACCCATGTGTTCCCTGGGACTGCTTTGTCAAGACAGAAATGCCCAACCCGCCACCCCACCAGTCCATCAGTACTTCCATCTTAAATGTGGTGCTTTTCTTATTTATTTGTATTATAACATCTAGGAATCCCAGGCATGGACCAGAACCCAAAACAAAAACAGTCGTTGCCCCAAAGAGCTTACAGTCTAAGATGCTACAACAGATATTTACAGACAAAGGGGGTGCGCAAGGAAACAATGAGATGGTATTTGGCAGTGTGACAGACAGTGGTCTTAGTACACCAGCTGCTGTCAATTTTTTTGTAGGCCTCATGGCAAAGGAGAGTTTTAAGGAGGTATTTAAAGAAGGATAATGACTGAGTTTGGAGGATGTTTATGGGGCGCTCCTCCGAAGCCTGTGGGAGCAGCATGGGAGAAAGCATAAAGGTGCATGTTTGAAAATCTAACAAGTGGGTGATGGAGGCTGGCATCATGGAGAAGTTGGAAGTGTAAGCTGATCTTTTGCTGCTGAATGAGAGGTGATAGGTTGGTGGGGATAGGTCATGAAGGGTCTTGAAAGTGGAGACAAGTAGCTTATGTATGATATGATAGAGAAGAGGGAACCAAGGAAGGGATGCAAAGAGGGGGTAACATGCTCAATTTCCTAGCCCAACACTTTGATCTTTTGCAGCAGCATTCTGAATGGATATCAGTGGGCCAAGATTGCATTTGTCAAGGCCAGAGAGAAGGATGTTGCACTAATCGAGACATGAGACGATGAGAGCTGACCACAATTTTGTAAGCTCTGTAGATGAGAGAGTGCTGATGGATACTCACCTTTAAAGATCTCTCACTCGTTCCACCAAAAGAATCATGTAACTGTAATGCCAGTGGCACTAGCTGAACAGGCTGAGGGCTCTGTCGCTGAGATAGGAGGGGTCAGGGATTGAAAATGAGAAGT